CACAGGGACTCTGCGCCCTCCTGCGGTTTGTCTGTAAATCTAAACCTACCCTAACCTGAAAAGCTTATTTAAGCAAACAAACCAACAGAAGTGGAGTGGGAGTGAGAGGCATCTGGACACAGGGTCCTGCCGGGGGGGGGCAGGTAGGCTCCGCGGGGGCTCCCCGGGGTCCCGGGCCCCATGTGGGGGGCCGCCCTCATCCGCAGGGGTGTTGGGGCGCCCTCATGGGCACACGGACGTCCCTGAACCAGCTGTCCTGGAGGAAGCGCATCGGCGTGTGCGCCACCTCCGTCCTCGGAGGCGTTTCTGGGGGCCATCTGGGTGGGTCACAGACACACTCGTCTTCCTAGGGGGCGAGGAGCCCTCAGGGCCGCCTGCTCCAGCCGTCTCCCGGAAGGACGCAGACCTGTGACTCCCGGGGCGCAAGCAGCAAGCCCACACCCGGGCCAGCCTCAGAGCTCTTCCCGCTGTGGCTCGTCCCCCGCACCGGCTGCGGACAAGCCCCAGGGCAGGCGTGCGGGGGTGGGGGTCTTCCTCGGTCATCTCTCGCGGGGCTGTGCATGGGGTGCGGAGACAGACTGGCCACCCGTCGGACCCTCGAGGTCCCGTCTCATCCTGGAACTCAAGGTGGCCTTGGGGCCAGGCCGCCCCAGGGCTCCGGTGGCAGCCTCCGGCCCAGCCCTGAGTCTCACGGCCCCAGGGCTCCGGCAAGCGGGCGCCGGCTGCTGGCAGGGGGCAGCCCTGCAGACCCCTTGCTCGGGGAGAAGTACACCCTTCAGTGGAGATGTCTTTGTCTCTCTTAACTGACAGTGATTTTCTTCGGAGAAGAAAACATACAGAAGGTACCGAATTGAATCTCAATTTGTTGAATCTTATTAAACTGTTCTTGGGGGAGAACCGATTTCAATAAAAATTGAACAGGGAGAGAAGCAAGCCGCAAACTAGAGAACACAGTGAGGTGGAGCGTAGCTCCCAGTTTGGAAGCGGTGCGGTGGGGTGGCTGGCGGAGCTGCTGCTTCGTCTGAAAGTCTGGGTTACTGCGGGGGTGCCCTCCGGGGCCCGCCTTGCCCAGGGTGTAGACGCCGCAGCCAGACACCCAGGCGAGGAGCGTGTGGACGGATCTGAAGTCTTAGCTGCACGCTCGCTGCAGAGGCCGGCTCTGGCCCCAGCATCCTTTTTCCCTCCCACCTTCTAGGGACGGGGAACAGAGTGAGGATGCAGCGCGGCGCACCTGAGTCAGTCTGTCCACTACCGCCGCACCTTCGAATGCTTCTTCAGACCTAATTTACGCGCCCTAAAATTCACGCCTTTAAACTGTAGAGTTCCATGGTTGTGATGCATCCACAAGGCTGTGCACCTGCCACGGCTACTAACTCCTGAACAGTCTGGTCGCCCTTAAAGCAAACCGCGTAACCACTAACCGTGGCTCCCTAAGTCCCCCGCCCCCAGGCCCCGCCCCCACCCGCCCTGATTCTGGGCGTTCTGTGTAAGTGGATTCGAACTACACAGAGCCTTATGTGACTGGCTTCTCTGAGTGTTTCCAAGGTTCATCCCCACGGTAGCAAGTATCTTTCCTTCTCACGGCCAAGTAGCGTTCCACTGCGGTGAGGGGCCACCCTTCTTTTTGGGGAGGGGATTAGATTGATTGACTGATTCATTCATTCATTGATTCATTCATTCATTTATTATTAATGTTTGGTGAAGGCACTGGGGATTGAACCCAGGGCCTCGCGCATGCTAAGCACACGCCCCGCTTCTGAGCCATACCTTTCCCCGCCCCGGGGTCACAGTTCTTGACCCCTCATCAGGTGGAGGGCGCTGAGGCGGCTTCCTTTCCTTCTGCCGTGAATTTTGCGCCGTGAGCGTCACGTACCCGCTTTGGTGTGGACGTGGGCTCATCCCCAAGACTGGAATTCCTGGATCTGCTGGGAACCCTGTGTCTTGGAGGACGCTGCAGGCTGCCTGATGGCTGCACTATTCCGCATTCCCACCAGCGGTGCACAAGACGCCCCGTCTCCCGCAGCCTCGCCGGCACTCGGAAGTGTCCGGCTTTTTTTTTTTTTTTTTTTTAGGCAGCATATGTGTCCGGCTTTTTTGCTGGTGGCCGACCCCGTGCAGTTGCAGTGGAGGCACGTTCCTTAGGGGTCTGTGGATGCCTCAGAGTTTGGGGGGAGGCCGCCCCACCTCAGCCTGCACCATGGCCTGGCCTTCTCAGCGTGTCACCACCAGCTCTGATGGTTAGTGGTGTCACCAGTCCCTGCCCACGTGTGGGGTCCTCTCCCATCTTGAGAGACGACCGACAGCGCCCCAGATGCCGCCCCCCACACCGGGGAAGAAGATGTGTGAGTGGATCCTGGAGAACCTCTTAATTGTGAAATGGGTCTGGATCTGGGGGCTTCCCAGCCCCGTGCTGAGGAGCGTGAGAGGGGAGGGCAGAGTGTTCCTGGGGTCCTGCCTGGTTGGACCAGCTGGAGGGACGAGGGCAGAGATCACTTGTTGCCTACGTGGTCCCTGCGGATGTGGCTGAATCCCCTAAAACCACAGTGCGTCTTCGCCCAGGACGCTCCCACGCGAGTCCAGGAGGGACCAGATCGGGCAGGGGGGCAGCAGGCCTGGTGACGGAGCACAGGATGTGGGGCATCTGACCCTTGTAAAGAGACCAACCGGGAGTCCCCTGCAGGGCACAGGCCGGGCCACAGACCTCCCTCCGAGGGCGGCCGTCCCTGCTCCCGGTCCGGGGGCTGCGGGTGGTGGGGCTTCTGTCCCGACTTGCTCACCTGCCCGCTTTACTCTCCCTCTGTGAACAAACCCACCACTTTAGAGGGACAAACAGGCCTTGAAGAGGAAGAATGAACCAGACTCTCCCCGCCACCAACTGCAGTTGGATGGTTTTTCTGCGTAACAGCTGGGTGGCGTGGAAAAGAGGGATTTCTATGCTAACCAATTACAGCGCGCGACTGGGGAACAGGGCAGAGGCAGCCTCGTGTGAAGGTATGCCGGGGCGGGCCGGCCAGGCTGAGGTGCCGCTGTCTTCATTTCCTGGGGCGCTGGTCCTCCGGGTACTGGTGGCAGGCAGGCTTGTGAGTGGCTGTTCTTCATTCAGCCTGCGGGGGCCTGGTAGACCCGGTGGGGCCTGGCGGGGCCTGTGGGGCCCAGTGTGACTGTGGTACCTAGTGGTGCCCAGTGAGGTCTCTGGGTAGCTGGTGAGACCTGGGGGTTCCTGGTAGTGCTTGGTGGGGCCTAGTGGTGACTGGTGGGGTCCAGAGAAGCCTGGTGAGGTGGTGGTAACTTGTGGTGCCTGGTGAAGCCTGGGGATACATGGTGAGGCCTAGTGGGACCTGGTGGGACCTGGTGGGACCTGGAGATGCCTGGTGAGGCCCGGGGAGGCGTGGTGGGCTCAGTGGTACTTGGTGGTGCTTGGGAAGCCCCATGGTGCCTGATGGTGGCCAAGGGCAGCCTCCAGGCTGAAGCAGCACACCTGCTGGAAGCAGCGCCCCAGTCCCCTGAGGGCTGGACTCGTGTCCAGATGTGCAGCGAGGTGGGAGAGCTTGAGGTCCTAAACCATCCATCCTTCATGGAGCCACTGTGGCCGCAGAGGAGCCACACTTAGAGTGTGCACGGTGGGGGGTGGTTCTCCGTGCACAGCCAGGGGGGCCACAGCCCCTGCACCGAGCTCAGCTGGCTGCAGAGAAATTGCGCCCTGGCAGCCATGCGGTGCTGAGGCATTAGCATGATGAGCATCTCCCAGTTCCTGCAGCAGAGCGCTTTCCTCCCTATGAAAGAACCGGGGCCTGAGTGCTTGGGGATTCATTAGTATGTGTTTCTTCCTTCAACTTGCCGATGGCCGGCGGGGACAGCGTGTCCCCGAGTGTCAGTGAGAGAGGGGTCTGCACCGAGCACGTGGGCTACAGAGCGGGGGGCACACACTCACACACACACTCTCTCAGGGACACACACACATGTGCTGAGTCCCTTTTAAAGTCACGTGACACCTTTGAACCAAACATGCCCAGCCCCATTCCTAAATTCTGCCTTCATGTCAATTTTCAGACGTGATGTTAGTGACAGGCTCTGACTCTGAAGGTGCCTGTCGCTGGTCCCTGGGCCTCAATCGTCTACGCTGGTGGGAGGGCGCATGGGCCGGGTCCGCACACCCTCCATGTGGCTGCCATGCATGGCATCCTTACCTGCCACGCCCAGGAGCCACCTGGGCCCAGCCTGCACTGAGCCCCACTGCCCTCGCTGCGCAGTGCGGGGTGCTCCCCTCTGGCCTCCCCGCCCTGAGGAGGTGGGTAATCGGGTTGCAGAGGGTGCTCCCCCCAGAGAAAAATCGAGGGAGCAGAGATGTCCCCAGAGCAAGCACGTGGGCAGAGGCGGTGCCCTGTGGACTTGCAGCTTCTCCACAGCACGTCTCCTTCCCCTGAGTGAGGTTTGGAGGAGGCCAAAAGTCAGACGCTCGCCCGTGTACGTGTGTGGCACTGGAGGCCACGGGGCTGCTGTGAAACACGCATGTTCGACTGAGAGACGAGGTGCGGTCTGCAGAGCGCAGGGCCTGGCCCGGAGCAGTGGACGCCGGGGCCTTGTGCTCCACCCACGTGAAGCCCCACCAGCTGCAACCTCTGTCCCTCCGGACCTTGGGGCGTGGCCCCAGGCTTCTGTGACCCAGAGGGAAGAGTGGGCCCCAGATCCTGGGTGTGGACCTTGTCCCTGGCCCTGTCCTTCCTCCCTCGTGTCCTCTGGGAGCCCCGTTTTATTCTGGGCCAAAGCAAAGCGGGGATGGAAGGCCTGTGAGGTCGTCTCTCCAGCTGACGGGTGGGGAGGGGCCCTGAGACCCGGTTCCCCTCCCTCCCGGGCAGCAGAGTCCCGTCACAGTCACCGGGGAGCTGTGAGCGGGCAGGCTCCCCGGAGGAGGCGGGACGTGCCGGCCGGGGACCGGCTCACGTGCGGCAGGGCTGCCGCTCCTG